TCATAAATTAGCATTCATGAGCATAATCTTTGCTGAAACATCACTTTATTTTGAATCAAACTCGTGAAGGGAGCTGCAGCAGTACTGAGCCACAATCGCCGGTGTCACCTTCCATCTCTGAACTGTATTTTTCTTCACCATATTCTTGAAATAAGGCGAAACTCAGTGTATCAAGCGCTTGGTGGCCTCTAAACAGAGGTAACGACAAAAGAAAAACTTCGCTCGTTGGCACGACCAAAAGGTGGACGCGGCCGCTTAATGGAAATTTAAATGTCTGTTTAAACCTTGTCAATGCAAGACCAAAAAGCAAATTTTATTCAGTGTCTTGCGACGAACATGACGCAAAAAGAAAAAAAAAAGATCGACAAAATTGATAAATGGCGCCATTTAACTGACTATTTCGGGTCGTCTTAAAACTACAACCACTTTTTTAAAAGGCGGAATAGCCTCTGAGGAAAGTTTGTAGTACTGTGTTCATGGTTAGAAAGAGGCACTTCTCTCCTACGTTTGTCAGAATTGATACTTAAGAAAGCACGCCCTGATGGCATTTCATCTTTACAATCACTTCTTGACGGGCATTGCTTTCACTATTCCTTCTTCTTAATTACGTTTCTCACACTTTTTCTTATTCAGGCAGAATAAAGGTGCTGCATTTATGCTCATTATTTGCATTAGTAATAAAACCGTACTTTCTATAGTTACTCTGGCTTCGGTCTTCGAAGCTTTTCATTATGTTTGATCACTGCAAAATTAGTTAAACTGAAGCCATTCATTACTACTTAAGACTTCTGAATCCGGGGTCTTAAAAATGAATCTTTGTGAACATAAAATTGAAGACTGAAAGACACATATAGTAGACAAAAACTCACCGATTGGTTTTGTTCACTTGTAGATTGGAAACTATCTTCAGAAGGGATGTCTTTTAGCTCCATTAGTTAAACCGCCTAAAAATGTAACTTTTAATTTTGTGTTCGAAGTCGCGTCAGTGAAAGAAAATTCGTTATGATCGTGATAAACGACTCGCGATTCAAAGTACGCGTGATACGTTCGGAACGCTTTTTGTACTGCGGAATACTGGTAGAGCGACTGAAATCCTTCATATTGAGATTTAAAACACAATAAACCTTATCACCCCTGACGATTTTTTATGTAAAGACACAGTCAAAGCCATTTGAATAAAATGCTTTTTGCTTTGTTTCCAAGTTTCTTTTCTTTATATTTTTTCAATTGTTTTTGTTTGAATAGCTCAACAGTGCCCACCAATTTTAAGGTTACGGG